GTCCCTTGTTCATCCAGGAGATCCAATCAGTCAATACTTAAAGAAATTAATTCAGGCTATTCACTAGAAGGTCAAGCGCTGAAGCTGAAGCTTAAATACTTTGGCCACATAATGACAAGACAGGACTCACTGGAAAAGACCCTCATGTTACGAAAGATTGAAGCCAAAAGGAAAAAGAGATGGCAGAGGATGAAATGGATAGATAGTGTCATGGAAGCAACAAACATGAACTTGGACAGACTTTGAGAGACAGTGGAGGATAGAAGGGCCTGGTGTGCTATGGTCCATGGGGTCATGAAGAGTCAGACACGACTGAACGACAACAACAACAAAATGTTCTGAGCACTTTGGAAGGCACTGGGGATATGAGTAGAATGAAGGAAACATTCCCTGATCATAAGGAGCTTACATGCCATTTAGACTATTTGTGAATTGACAGAACCAAAGCAGATGAAGTTCTAGGAGCTACACTGACCCTCTGGCTCCAGATCCTGGAATGGTCATGGAATCTACTCGGAAGGCTCTTTTCAGAGCTCAAAGGTCTTTCAGGTGGCAGCGAGCCTTCAGATCCTACTGACAGGATTAGCACTTTTTCAGAATCATTTCTGAACAAGGATGATCAATTTTTGTCTCTATTTGAAGGAAACTAGTTATGTTACTGTCCAATTGCTCTGGTTGAAGACTCATGGGAAGAATTAGAAAGAAAACAGATGTCCATTAATTGGGAAATGACTAAATAAATGATGGGTACATGAATATAATATAATATTATCACATTGTAAGAAATGATGAGTGGGAAGACTACAGATATACATTGGAAGATTTGTGGAAAATGTAAGAAGTGAAACAACTAGAAGCAGGAAAACAATACCCAATGATTGTCATAATAATAATTTTGTTATTGTTGAGTCATTTCAGTCATGTCCAACTCTCTGTGACCCTGTTTAGGGTTTTCTTGGCAGAGGTATTAGAGTGGTTTGCCATTTCCTTCTCCTCCTCATTTTACAGATGAGGAAATTGAGGCAAACAAGGTTAAGTGACTTGCCCAGGTTCTCATAGCTAGCAAGTATCTGAGGCCAGATTTGAACTCAGGTCTTCCTGACTCCAGACCCAGCACTCTCTCCACCGCACCACCTAGCTGCCCAATAACAACAATAATAATAGCTGGTATTTTATATAGCACTCTCAGATTTGCAAAGTGCTTTACAAATATTTATCTCATTTTATCCTCACAACAACCCTGGGAACCTCCCAGTGCTATTATAATCCCCATTTTAGAGATTAGGCAATTGAGGCAGGCTAAATGAAGTTAAAAGACTTGCCCAGGGTCACACATATGAGATTGGATTTGAACTCAGGTCTTCCTGATTCTAGAGCCAGTGCTCTAGCCACAGGGTTATCTAGGTGCTGACTTAAGTAGCTTTTGATGCTATAAAATTATGATGAACCAACTTGGCTCCAAAGAAATATGAGAACATATCTCTCTGTCTTCTTTTCAGAGGTGAGGGACTATGGGTATAAAACATTACGTAAGTGTCAGACTTGGTTGATGTGCTAATTTGTTTTGCTGCACTGTTTTCTCTCTCTTTTTTCATTCTTTGTTGTAATGGCTTGTCATCATGGAAATAGGAAAGATGCTAATAAAATTTTAATGTAAAACTTTGGTTTTTTATCAGTAAAGTGGAAATGATAATAGCATAAACATCACAGGATTGTTACGAGGATCAGATGAGATCGTTGGATCATAGAACGTGAGTCAGATGGAATGTCAGAGGCCACACAGTCCAACTCTTTCATTTTACAGATGAGGAAACTGAGGCCCAAAGAAGTTAAGTGACTTTCCCAAAGTGACACAAGTATCGGAAGCAAAATAGTTTATGTAAAGTGCTTTCCAAATCTAAAAGGCCTTTTAAATTAGTTTTCTTCTTAATTAGCCTTTCTTAAACTGCTTTGAAAGACTTAACTCTGATCAATAAATTACCAAACATGACTCCAGACACTGATAAGGAAGCATGCTATTCATCTTCTGATAGAGAGGTGATGGACTCAGGGTGCAGAATAAGACACTTTTGGAAATGGCAAATGTGTGAGTCTTTTTGTTTGTTTGTTTAACTAGGCTTATTTGTTACAGGAATTATGTTTTATTTTGTTTGGGGAGGATATCTGAAGAGGGGAATGGAGCTAGGGTTGAGTCACCTACAAAAAGAAGTAAAGAAAGAAGAGGGGTCATGGAAGTATTTTTAAAATGCATAGAAGAGAGTAGCAATACATTTGGATGGAAACACAGACAAGCAGGATGGTTTTGAAAGTAATGTAGAATTTATTATATACTTTAAAAAAGCAAGCTATGTAATAGAATAACATGTTTTCATATGTTATCCTCTTTTTATATTCTACCTAGTTTATGAAAATGTTTATTTTGCAATTAATTAAGTTGAAAAATTAAAAAGTCAAATCTGGAATGAATTAATTGTATGGGGCTGCAAAACCTTGATGCCTCTATTGACTTCCCCAGAACCTGGCTTTCCTTGCTACATGATGATAATGGCAATCTTTCTAAAAACAAAAATTCAAATTCTGGCAGATGTTATTCAGGGTTCACCAAACTGTGAAGAAAAACTACTTTTTTTCCTCAGAGCTCTGAGGTGGGGGGCAATTAGGTTAAGTGGAACTTTATACCCCTAGCCCCATCCCTTGTTGGCTACAGGTCTCTCCTTTTAGGAATTCTTGTAACTGTAGAGGGAAAGGCTTTTCAATGGTAGATAGGTACCTTGGAGTACATTAAAGAGTTAGGTAAGATGTTGAGAAGTAACTGTTATAGTTATTATTATTACCAATTAACACCAATAGCACCTTCTAAATACCTACTGTATGAGACAACACACAGTCCTTGGAGCTTATTCCAGGGAGATCTCAGTCTATTAGAGGGTTAAGATACTCACCCAGGTAGCAAGGTAGGGAAATCTATGTTACAGTAACATTTTACAGAACATGTACAGAAATAGAGGGAGAGACTTAATTCAGCATTTTGGAATATTGGTCTTCAAAAAAAGTCTTCCTAGCAATATTTCTACTTTTTCTTTCAAAGGAGGGCTATGATCTTGCCACTTTGCTGCTGTTATCTCAGGAAAGGGAACAATTTTTAAGTGTCATAGGAGACCAGTAGGATTATTTTGTCCACTAAATGAGTACTAAAATGACAAATGAAGTCATCTTATCAAGCCTTATGCCTCTAGGCGGGTTGACCTAACTCTTCAAAACAGATGTCTGCCTTGTTCTTAAAAATCTTCAGGGATAGAGCTTTTCCAGCCTTCACTGGTTGGGGATTTAATTGTAAAGAGTTTTTTATTATGTTTAACTTAAAGCTGACCAGAGCATTGTAAACACTGTGTGGTATAGTATAGACAAATAAGGTGGGTAATGGGACACATGGCTGGCTTCTCACTCAGTAGTAGCAGTGAAAGCTGGTGGTCTAATAATTTCTTCCACTGATTTCATTGTAACACCATTTTGTTTCCTCATCTCCCTGTTTCCAAATTCCTACTTACCGCTGGGTACGTCTAAGTATTTACTGGCATGAAATCATGAACAAAACATATTTCTCCTTTAGAAGGTGGTATGTGAAGGAAAAAGGGAACCTCTAAATAGATGGAGGGGGACAAATTTCCTCAATGTAAACTATGAACTCTTTCTTGAGCTCTCTTTTCACTTTAAATTTTTTTTAAATTGAGCTACAAGGGACTTCAGAGAGAATCTTGTCCAACTGCTTTGTTTTACAGATGAGGAAAGTGGACTCTGGAAAAGTCAAACCATTCACCTTTGTAGATATCCTATTCTTTGTGTTGCTGCTAGGTGGCACAGTGGATAGAGTGTTGGGTCCAGAGTCAGGAAAATCTGAGTTCAAATTCAGCCTCAGACTATGTGACCCTGGGCAAGTCACTTACCTTTTGTCTGCCTCAGTTTTCTCAACTGTAAAATGAGGATAATAAGAGCACCCACCTCTTAGGATTGTTGTGAGGATCAAATGAGATCATATTTGTAAAGCACTTAACACAGTGTCTAACATAGAATAGATGCTCAATAAATGCTTATTCCCTCTCCCTCCTTTACTTATCTGTGTAGTATTGCTCCCTTTAGTATGTAAGTTCCTTGAGAGCAGGGTCTATTTCTGTTTGTCATTATATCCCTGGTGCTAAGCATAGTGTCCAATAAGTATTTAAATGCTTGTGGAATTAAATAGCCCAAGTTGCTATGTTTGACTAATGATGGAGACAGACATAGAACCAGGTCTCTTGACTTTAGATGCAGTGCTTTTTCTAGTATCATTACTACTAATAGCTCATGTCCAGGTCTATAGAGCACTTTCCTCATGACAAATTCTATGAGCTTGTTATTGAAAATATTCCTAGCTTGGCTGTACAGATAAAGCTGTGGTTTAAAGAATTTCAGTGATTTGGCCTTGCTCGCACCAGCAAGTACCAGAGCCAAGATGAAAAATCAGGTCTCCACGTTCAGTGCTTTTATCACTGTGCCACACTCCATGCTAACCTCTTTCTTCTTTTAGGAGAAAATTATTACCTACACACACATACCCAGAAATACTCACATACATAGACACCTACAAACATACACACACAGCATACTCACACACGTGTGCACACGTACAAGGATGTGTTTGTTGTTGTTCTATTATTTCAGTTGTGTCTGACTTTTCATGACCCCATTTGGGACTTTCTTGGCAAAGATACTGCAATGGTTTGCCATTTTGTTCTCCAGCTCATTTTACAGATGAGGAAACTGAAGCAAACAGGATTAAGAGACTTGCCCAGGGTCACACAGCTAGTAAGCGTCTGAGGCCAGATTTGAACTCAAGGAGCAGAGTCTTCCTGACTCTGGTCCCACTGTGCCACCTAAACACACACAGATATGTACATGTATACGCTTATGCATACACACATACAAACACCCACACTCACACACATTCAATGTCTGGAAGGTACCTCTTGTATTTGCAGGTGGCCATATTCAGAGATGCCACAGGCAGCCAGGAAATGTTTTTTCATCAGTTGAAGTTTCTCTTCTGCTACAGCTTTCTACATCAAGTCAAACAAAGCCATGTGTTAAACAATCATTTGGATCTCAGAACATGCAAGCCAGTGTCTTGCTCAAAGTCACATGGTCAGTAAGTAGCAGATCCAGAGTTTGGATCCAGTATCTCAACTCCAAAACCTACTGCTCTTTACGTTAGTCCTCATTTTGGGTGTGTATAAGTTAATATTGACTAGTGGTACCTAGAAGTGAGAAGCATGTACAGTTAACTATTCATTGTTGGTTTCAATGTATTTGCTCAGATAATTCAAACCAGTGGTTAATTCTAAAATGCTAATACTAACGGTATAATAATAATAATAATAATAATAGGTATTAGAATAATTATATGAATTATTAGAATATTCATACAAATGACATTTGTGTAATGTTTTGTGAATTACAAAGCATTCCCACATATGTCATTTCACTTGATTCTCATGATAATCCTTTGGAATAACAATTATTGTTGCTGTTTTTAGATGAAAGCAGAATCTGTCGTAACTTTTAATTTCCTTATCATCTGAGATAGAATTTTGTACACAGTAGGTGCTTCATAAGTGTTTACTGAATAAGGAAAATCCATCATCTAGTCACATGTTCTCACCCCTGCCACCCCTATATCCCCATGCCCTCCCACTTGTGAATGAGGTGGGTGAAGGAAGGGTAGCCCCAACAAGCTGAGAAGACACTGTCAGTGATTGTTAGCGTGAAAAGGAAGTGCTTACATATAGCTTAGAGAAGGTACATCATGGACAATTCATTCTTAGGTAATCAGTAATTGATAGTAGAAGGGTTTTATGAGCTTTGACCCCATTAGAAGGCAGGGTTCAAGATTTTGTTCTCTTAAAATGTTTTATTGATGCTTTATAAAAATCACTATCACTTCCCAATTCTCTCCCTTCCCATTAGAACACTCTTTTTTTTTTTTAAACAAAATGATATATTTAAGCAAGTAGCTAGATGGCTCAGTTGGATAGAGCACTGAGGCTCGAGTTGGGAAGACCTGAGTTTAAATCTTGCCTCTGATACTTACTACCTGTGTGACCCTAGGCAAGTAACTTAACTCTGTTAGCCTTAAACCACTAGAGAAGGAAAGGGCAAACCATTCCAATATTTTTGCCAAGAAAATCCCACGGACTTATTGGCCTGTTATGGTCAACAGGGTCATGAAGGGTCAGACACAACTGAAGAGATATTTAAGAAAAAGAAGTCTACTTTGGTTTTGTTCTGGTATTTTGAACCCATATCAATCAGATTCGAGTCTGTTCTCCCCAGCTGATCACATATTATTCCTGCTCACTTCCTTTCCATCCCAGCCAACCTTACCTATTTGATATTCCATGTCTTACCTCTGTGTTGTCCCCCATGCCTGGAATTTCCCCCTCTTTGTCTCCAACTTTTGGAGCCCTTCAAGTTTAAACTACAGGTGCCCCATCCTAATAGAGACTTTTCCTGATTTCCCGCCTGATAATAGTCCCTCCCTGAAAAAATTACTTTGTATTCATTTTATATACACATGTTACTGTGCAGATTTTAGAACTTAATAGCCATGTAACATATGATCCTACCATATTGAATACTAAGTAATGTTAAATTATTCCTATGTCTTGGTTAGCCAGTCTAGGCAGTTAGATGGTAGAGTTGATGGAGTATCAGACTCAGACTCAGAAAGACCTGAGTTCAAATTCTGCCCCAGAAATTTACTTGCTACGAGACCCTAGAAAAGTCGTTGAACTTTCTTTAGTCTCAGGTTCTTCATCTGTAAAATGGGGATAATAATAAGTTACCTCGCAAGGTTTTGTGAGGATCAAATGAGATATTACATGTAAAGCACTTTGCAAACCTTGAAGCACTACTATTATTATGGTATATTAATAAAACTTTCTCTTTTTTAACCAGGACCAGATGGTTCTGATAATTGCTGATTTGTGATATAATTTCACATCTGCTAAGCGAATCCCTCTTCATTCTTAATTTTTTCATGATTTTCCTTTGAGACCTTTGAATTTTGGTTCCTTCAATTGAATTTTCTTATTATTTTATACAATTTATAAAATTGCCCCTTGGTAGTTTGATTAGCAGGTCACTAAATATGCAACATATGTATCATAATTTTTATTATATTGGTGTAGCCCAACCATGAACAATGAATATTTTTCTAATTATTTAAGTCTTTCTTATTTCTGTAAAGAATATATTGGGGGTAGCTAGGTGGCACAGTGGATAGAGCACTGGCCCTGGAGTCAAAGGACCTGAGTTCAAATCTGGCCTCAGACACTTGATACTTACTAGCTGTGTGACCCTGGGCAAGTCACTTAACCCCATTGCCTAGCCAAATATATACATATATACATATACATACATATATATTGAATATATATGTGTGTGTGTGTGTATATACACACATATATACATACATATATATATTATATATATGTGTGTGTATATATAAATATATAAATAAATATATATATATATATATAATATGTATATATATATATATATATATATATATATATATGTTGTATTCACATAAGTCCTAAGTATGTCTTGGTAGGTCAGCTCTCAGGTTTTTTTGCACATTTTGTAGTTACATGGAGTAGAATTTATTTATCTCTTCTTGCTAGGTTTTATTATTTTTGTGGATTTGTTACATCCCACCATTTTTACTGGAAGTATTCATTTTTTCCAATTAATTTTTGCATTGAGTCTCTAGGACTCCCCAAACAAACATCATATCATCTACAAGTGATGATAATTTTGCCTTCCCTTTTGCCTATCCTTAAGGTTTAAAATTAAAATTACAAATAAAAAAATTATTTAAAAAAACCACAAAGGAGGAAAGAAGTTAGCATTAAATGTACTTTCAAAAAGTACTTGCAGTTTCCTTTCCCAAGAATGTATCATCTCATGAGCCTCTTGACGCATCATGCTCTCTGGTGCGTTTTAATAGTTAGCTTTCCACTTACTCATATCGATAGACACATTTCCACCTGCCATCCCCGAATGTCATCATGACAGGTGAAGCAAGATAAGACCAGCCAAGCAGATGTGGCTCCCCGTGGAGAAGCAGGGCTGTTCACGGGAGCACCCAGCAGGGCAGCACAGAGAAGTTTGCCAGTATGAGGCTCTATCTGTCTTGTACATCAACTAGCAATCCTGTTTGCTGAGCAGGTACAGTATTCTTATAAGACTGTATTTGCCCTGGATGGATGTCATGGATCATCTAGCTGGCAAGGACTTTAGAATCTTTATTCATAATGCTTATTAATTCTAATATTACAATATAGACATATTTGGAATTATCTGCCTAGACTAGACACAGGTGGATAAAACTATGCTGCCTCTGCCTTCCTTCTTTTCCATCCCACATAGGTTATTGTCTGTTTTCTGGTGACATATACATGTCATGTTGAGCCAACATGGTAGAGTGGATGGAGAACTATCCTCAAAGCCAGGGAGGCCTGAATTCAAGCCCCACCTCCAAAACATATTAACTGTATGACCCTAGGAAAGTCATGACCTTTCAGTGCTCCAAGCAACTCTCTTAGGTGTTCTTAACCTGGGTGAATTAGAAAAGAAAATATTTAAATGACCATACTACAATATCGATTTCCTTTGTAATCCTCTGTATTTTATCTTATGCATTTAAAAGGTGAAGAGAAGGAAAAGAGAATAAGCAGACACCAATAAATGCTTTACAAATGTTGCCTCATCTGATCTTCACAACAACCCTGCGAGGCAGATGCTGTTATTATTCCCCATTTTACAGTTGAGAAAACTGTTCAATTCAAAATTATTATTCAGAAAAGGGATCCATATGCTTTGCCAGACTGCCAAAGGGGTGCATGAAGCAAAAGTCGTGAAGAACCCTTACACTCTAATACTGTAAGCTGCTGAGGTGATGGCTGGTATTGGCAGAGGAAGTTGTTCACCGGGAGCTCCCCAAATGAATGAAATCATAGGGCTAGTCCCATCCCTGTCCCTACTCGTGCCACACAGCATGGCTCTGCAATCCTCTTTAGAAGAAGGCAAATGAAGCATTGACTGACTTTGAGACCATTTGTATTCAAAGGCTACCTCTCAGATGGCTGCTGGGGAACATTAGTCTCCTGCAATGGATTTCACTTTTATCAATGAAAATCTTGTTTGAAGGGGCAGCTAGTTGGCACAGTGGATAAAGCACTGGCCCTGAAGTCAGGAGGACCTGAGTTCAAATCTGGCCTCAGATACATGACACTTACTAGCTGTGTGACCCTGGGCAAGTCACATTGCCTAGCCCCCCCCCAAAAAAAAATCTTGTTTGACCTTGTTTTCCTTGGTGTATTCACCATTGCATGGAGTTTACCATTGAGACATGATAAATGAAAAAGCAAAAGAATTCATATTTATGGAATACATTAGCGTCCCTGACTCTACTACTACTTTAAATTCTTGGTCATTCTTATTTCTCTGGCTCACTTTTACTTATCAGTACCTAAAGGTTAAATTAGCTATGTTTGGGCTTGGGCTCAAATTTCATGTCCCTACTCTGGCCTCTTACCTCCCTGCACAGTAAGTGGGTACTTGTTAATTATTTGTTTAGGTGAAGCCATTTAGGCAGACTATTCTAATAATTTAGGCACAGATATCCCCTTTAAGATGCACATTACTCAGAAAAAATCAGAAATGCCCCCAACCTGGGCACATTTTGAAAGATTGCATCTAGGAAATAAGATATTCAAAGTTCATGGCATCCATGTGAGAAAGGCATCGGGCTCCAGAGACACAATGTCCCTTTAACTATGGACTCTGGCTAATAATGAGAGCATTCAATAAACATTTATTAACCACCTAGAAGGTGTAGAACACTATAATAAGTGCTGAGGAGAATCCAAAATTTAGAGAAAATACAGTCCCTATCCTCCTGGACCTTACAGTTTGGGAGAGAGGGATGGAATATTACACATATACAAATAACTATAACATAAAATAAATACATGATAGATTTCCAAAAAGTTAC